ATGTGTCTCGTGGTAGAGGGAGTACTTTGTGTGTTGCGGTAGAGGGAGTACTTTGTGTGTTGCGGTAGAGGGAGCACTTTGTGTGTCGAGGTAGAGGAGGGACTATGTGCGTTGCGGTAGAGGGTGTACTTTGTGTGTTGCTGTAGAGGGAGTACTTCGTGTGTCGAGGTAGAGGGAGCACTTTGTGTGTCGAGGTAAAGGAGGGCTATGTGTGTTGCGGTAGAGGGAGCACTATGTGTGTCGAGGTAGAGGAGGGACTATGTGTGTCGTGGTAGAGGGAGTACTATATGTGTCGTGGTAGAGGATGGACTATGTGTGTTGCAGTAGAAGGAGCACTTTGTGTGTCGAGGTAGAGGAGGGACTATGTGCGTTGCGGTAGAGGGTATACTTTGTGTGTCGAGGTAGAGGAAGTACTTTGTGTGTCGAGGTAGAGGGAGCACTTTGTGTGTCGAGGTAGAGGAGGGACTATTTGCGTTGCGGTAGAGGGTGTACTTTGTGCGTTGCGGTAGAGGAGGGATTTTGTGTGTCGAGGTAGAGGGAGCACTTTGTGTGTCGAGGTAGAGGGAGTACTTTGTGTGTCGAGGTAGAGGGAGCACTTTGTGTGTCGAGGTAGAGGAGGGACTATGTGCGTTGCGGTAGAGGGTGTACTTTGTGTGTTGCGGTAGAGGAGGGATTTTGTGTGTCGAGGTAGAGGGAGCACTTTGTGTGTCGTGGTAGAGGAGGGACTATGTGAGTTGCGGTAGAGGGTGTACTTTGTGTGTTGCGGTAGAGGGAGCACTTTGTGTGTCGAGTTAGAGGGACCACTTTGTGTGTCGAGGTAGAGGAGGGACTATATGCGTTACGGTAGAGGGTGTACTTTGTGTGTTGCGGTAGAGGAGGGACTTTGTGTGTTGAGGTAGAGGGAGCACTTTGTGTGTCGAGGTAGAGGGAGTACTATGTGAGTTGCGGTAGAGGGAGCTCTTTGTGTGTCGAGGTAGAGGAGGGACTATATGTGTCGAGGTAGAGGGAGTACTATGTGTGTCGAGGTAGAGGAGGGACTATGTGTGTCGTGGTAGAGGGAGTACTATGTGCCTCGAGGCAGAGGGTGTACTATGTGTGTCAAGGTAGAGGGAGTACTTTGTGTATCGTGGTAGAGGAGGGACTATGTGTGTTGCGGTAGAGGATGGACTATGTGTGTTGCGGTAGAGGGAGTGCTATGTGTGTCGTGGTGGAGGAGGGACTATGTGTGTTGCGGTAGAGGGAGTACTTTGTGTGTCGTGGTAGAGGAGGGACTATGTGTGTCGTGGTAGAGGGAGTACTATGTGTGTCGAGGTAGAGGGTGTACTATGTGTGTCGAAGTAGAGGAGGGACTATGTGTGTCGTGGTAGAGGGAGTACTATATGTGTCGAGGTAGAGGGAGTACTTTGTGTGTCGTGTTAGAGGAGGGACTATGTGTGTCGTGGAAGAGGAGGGACTATGTGTGTTGCGGTAGAGGGAGTACTATGTGTGTCGAGGTAGAGGTGGGAATATGTGTGTTGTGGTAGAGGTGGGACTATGTGTGTTGCGGTAGAGGAGGGACTATGTGTGTTGCGGTAGAGGGAGTACTATGTGTGTCGAGGTAGAGGAGGGAATATGTGTGTCGAGGTAGAGGGGGTACTAAGTGTGTCGAGGTAGAGGGAGTACTATGTGTGTCGATGTAGAAGGGGGTGAGCTATATATGTCGAAAATTGGGGTACTACGTGTGTCGAAGTGTGTGTGTGTTTGCACTATGTTTTTCTAGGTAGGGGGTTTGCTGTGTGTGTGTCGTGGTAGAGGAGGGACTATGAGGGTCAAGGTAGAGGAGGGACCATGTGTGGTTCGGTAGAGGGGTTGCTTTGTGTGTGTCGAAGTAGAGGGAGTACTATGTGTGTCGAGGTAGAGGGAGTACTTTGTGTGTCGTGGTAGAGGAGGGAGTATGTGTGTCGAAGTAGAGGATTGACTATGTGTGTCGAGGTAGAGGGTGTACTATGTGTGTGGAGGTAAAGGGAGTACTTTGTTTGTCGAAGTAGGGGATGGACTATGTGTGTCGAGGCAGAGGGAGTACTTTGTGTGTCGTGGTAGAGGAGGGACTATGTGTGTTGCGGTAGAGGGAATACTGTGTGTGTCGAGGTAGAGGAGGGGCTTTGTGTGTCGAGGTAGAGGGAGTACTTTGTGTGTCGAGGTACAGGAGGGACTATGTGTGTCGAGCTAGAGAGTGTACTTTGTGTGTCGAAGTAGAGGAGGGACTATGTGTGTCGAAGTAGAGGAGGGGCTATGTGAGAGGAGGGACTATGTGTGTCGAGGTAGAGGGAGTACTATGTGTGTCGAGGCAGAGGGAGTACTATGTGTGTCGAGGTAGAGGGAGTACTATGTGTGTCGATGTAGAAGAGAGTGAGCTGGATATGTCGAAAATTGGGGTACTATGTGTGTCGAGGTAGAGGAGGGACTATGTGTGTCGAGGTAGAGGGAGTACTATCTGTGTCGAGGTAGAGAAGGGACTATGTGTGTCGAGGTAGAGGGAGTACTATGTGTGTCAATGTAGAAGGGGGTGAGCTTTATATGTCGAAAATTGGTGTACTCCGTGTGTCGAAGTGTGTGTGTGTGTGTGTGTGTACTATGTATGTCGAGGTAGAGGGAGTACTATTTGTGTCGATGTAGAAGGGGGTGAGCTGTATATGTCGAAAATTGGAGTACTATGTGTGTCGAGGTAGAGGAGGGAATATGTGTGTCGAGGTAGAGGGGGTACTAAGTGTGTCGAGGTAGAGGGAGTACTATGTGTGTCGATGTAGAAGGCGGTGAGCTATATATGTCGAAAATTTGGGTACTACGTGTGTCGAAGTGTGTGTGTGTGTGTACTATGTTTGTCTAGGTAGGGGGTTTGCTGTGTGTGTGTTGCGGTAGAGGGAGTACTATGTGTGTCGAGGTAGAGGAGGGACTATGTGTGTCGAGGTAGAGGGGTCGCTGTGTGTTTGTCGAGGTAGAGGGAGTACTATGTGTGTCGAGGTAGAAGGGGTGCTATACGTGTTGGGGTATGGTGCTGTGTATGTCGTGGTTGAAGGTTTTCTATGTGTAAAGGTAGAAGTGGTGATATGTGTGTCCATTTAGAGGGGATACTATGCGTGTCGATGTAGAGGTTTACTACGTGTGTCGAGGTGGAGGGAGTACGATGAATTGCCGAGGTAGAGGAGGGACTATGTATGTCGAGGTAGAGAAGGTACTATGTACGTCGACATATGGGGTACTACGTGTGTCGAAGTAAGGAGTGGGCGTTACTATGTTTGTCGAGGGAGAAGGTTTACTACCTGTGTCGAGGTAGAGGGAGTACTATGTGTGTCGGAGTAGGGGAGGAGGGGAGCAATATGTCTGTGGAGGTATGGGTACTCTGCATGTCGAGGTAGATGAGCTATCATGTGTGTAGAGGAAGAAGGTGTCGTGGATGAGGATTTACTATGTTTTTCGAAGTAGAGAGGGTACTGTGTGTCTCGAAGTAAAGGGAGTACTATATGTGTCGACGTATGGTGTATTGTGTGTGTCGAAGTAGAGAGGGTATTGTGTGTGTCTAGTTGAGGGGGTGTTATGTGTGTTGAGGCATGGTGCTATCTGTGTCGTGGTTGACGGTTTACTACGTGTTTCGAGGTAGAGGTGGTGTCCAGATAGAGGGGATACTATGTGTGTCGAGGGGGAGGGTTTGCTATGTGTGTCGAGCTAGAGGGTGTTTACTACACTCAACAACAACAGTTCCCGTGACACCAATATTTTAGTGTATTTTTAAAACAAGTAAAGTTTGGTTTTCAATATTGTAGTACATGTATGGAATCAAGTCACAAAAACGCAACTGCTACAGAAGAGTATGCATTTCATGCAAAAGTTGACTTTTAAACAAGCCCAATGCAGTTCACTACCGATGAATGGGTATAAAAACATGTGCGTTAACGGGATTCCATATGCATTGTTTAGCATCGTGCTGACAACAACCACTCAGAAAAACAACAAAATTACGAGATCATCGGCCCTGTTGTTCTACCGTTTTTGCGTCGTCATGGCCCAGGCATTACCTTTCACCATGACAACGCCCGGCCCCATTTTGCTCGACTTGTTCAGGATTCTCTTCAACAAAACAACGTGAATGTCATCCCCTGGCCGGCTCGCTCCCCTGATCTCTTACCAATTGAGCACATGTGGGATGAGATGGATCGGCGCCTTCGACGTAAACCACGTGCTCCACATACACTCCAGGAACTTCGAAACATGCTCCAGCAGATATGGACAGATATCCCACAGGACTTTGCGCGACGCCTGGTCCATTCCATGAGACGAAGATATGTTGCTTGCATCGCAACCACAGTTGGACACACACGCTATTGGTTTGTAAATTGACATTTTGGAATGTTCATGTTTTTTTTTTTAATGAAATCACGCATTTTCTGAAGTCAGTATGGCAAATTAAACCATTTGAACACTTACAGGGTTCTTTTATCTGTTGCAAACCGAAATTGTTTCAGATTTGGTAAAAAACATAACTTTGCATTTAATCTTATTCAATGTCACAGGAACTTTTGTTGTTCAGTATATGTGTGTCTAGAGAGAAGGGACACTATATGTTTACTTTGTGTTTCGAGGTAAAGGTAGTGATATGTGTGTCCAGCTAGAGATATTGATATGTGTGGCGAGGTAGAGATAGTGATATGTGTGTCGAGGTAGATGGGGTAGATGGGGTACTTGTCTGTCGTGGTAGAAAGAATAGTATGCTACGTGCATCAATGTAGATAAACAAGGAGACAATAGGCCTAAAGATGAAATTGTTATATGATGTTCGAGACAAGATATATTCGATATAACCGATTTTGTTGTCTGTTGTTTAACCTACTCTCACCAAAGTTTTATGTCTGGCACTGACAGTTGCTATGTTCTTTGTACTTTATGACCGAAATGTAGACATATTTTGTTCTGGCGACAAGACTAGTGAAACTTTATGGTGACAACTTGAAACAAATGAGTAATATACATTTCTATTTATTCAAAAAAAGAATCACTTTATTCGAAGGAACCAACAAGTTATCGTATCTTATGTAATTCACTTGTCATGCTGAGTTCGTTTGGTGAAAAAACATTTAAAAAACTCTTACGAAGGACTGGATTTATGATTTTGGAAATTACACGCACTAGAATATGGAATATTCAGGACAATAAATATTCATAAAAACAGGCGGCATTTCGCAAGATTATATTGAGCCATAGTTTAGTCCATCCAAACGAACACAACAGAATGATCACATCAATTACATGTATGTAAACTGTTCTCAATTCGTATCGATTCAATATTACTATGACAATAATAACTACATGTACACCAATGTATTAAATTTATAAGTTATAACAGTGAATGAAATGAACACACAATGTATTGACTTGAAAATGAAGACAGGTAAGTCGTATATGTAACATATGCAATCCCACGATTTGAAACGAGACTCTGAGACGTGACATTCCAGGTCAAGGTTCAAGTGACCACTGTCCACTTTTATCATATGGACATCGTCATATCACTCCTTAAAGTATCCGGCGACGAGATGGTACTATCTGAGTATGGACAAATAGCTGCAAAGAAGACGTAGGATAAATATAAACCAAACATGGTGTGTTGAGGTTGATAAAAACAAATGTACGAATATGACACTTCAGTTAAAACAGTGGAAGAACAATAAACCGAACAGCGGGCTTCTTGTATAATCGACTATTTGAAACCTACTCACACTATCCTCCCATCAGGTTAAATTTCCGGGTTAATAAGGGGCTGTTGTATACAGAGTTAGTGACATTCACCCGTGTGGTACTATACGAAGGTCCATGAGTTCTTTGGTTTGTTTTCATTGTATATGCACATGTTGGCAGGATGAAAAACATAATTCGTCAATAGAATAATGTTATTTCATTGAAACGAGTTGTTTCAAAGTTTCATTTTAAGGACCATATGTTGTTTGGGAAATGAAGATCACTAAATATTAAAAATGTTTTTACGTAACATATATAATTGAACTGTCACAAAATCAGAAACTGTCATCTCCAGTGTTTCAATTTTGAGAATTGTCTGAATTTGGCATTATCATTATCACGATGCTCATACAGGACAATGAAATTCGTATCAATCAGATAGTTTCAATTGTATACTAATATGAAACTATTGAACTATTTTTCATGAAATACATCAAGAATTATCCATAAGAATTTATCAGTGGCACCAACAGTTGATATGGTAACCATTTTCGTAAGAAATAGAAAGTATTGCAAAGGATGTATCAGAGATACTTATGATGGTATGTACCGGAATGCCAACAGTCGATTCTTGAACATCACAACTTCAGGCTCTGTAAGGTACGTTTGATAGTATGCTTATACGAATTGTTCTGTTTGGATTATTGTGGATATAATCCAACGTTATTCTTGGCTTGGTAAATCTGATATCATTTACTAAATGCTGAAAAAGAACAAACGACCCTCCGAGAAGAATGAACTATCTGTGTGTACTTAATAATCTACGTATGGGTGTGAAGTAGTGTAGGAGTTAAAGCGTTCGGTCGTCACTCCGAAGACACGGTTTTGTGTAGAATCTGTGAAGCCAATGCTGTTTCTCACCCCGAAATATGGCTCGTGTATTTCTATAAGAGGGTAGACCCATACACACACAATACTATGATGACACATATTTTAGTTCATGGTTAAACTCTTCTTCTATTGGAGATGTTAATACAAGAATATGTATGTTTGGCGTTATTCGGTTTCAGTTCTCCACCGGGGCATAGCGCCCCACGATTCGGACTAGCGGTGGATTTGATGCCTTCAAGAACAGAAGTCCCCAGAAGTCCCCTACACAGAGGAGACACTATGTTAAAGCTATGCATCCTAGAAAACCGTCAATGCCACAACAGGAAGTGATCAAACTTTGCCGAATGAGATCAAATTCAACTTCCTGTGATAAACGTCTCCTGGCGTCAACACCACCATCAACGTCCCAGAGACGACGTCGAGTCCTTTCACTCATGGCTTCGAACTTTTAGAGGGTTCCCGATCAATGTTTTTTGTTTGTTCTAAGAGTCACTTTATTCATGACGTCATAGTACCGTCATCTAACACGTCATGCGCAACTTGTCCTACTGAGCCGGTAAGTTCCTCCCGTTTCTGTAACTTTTTGGCTTTAATCCGTCGGTTTTGGAACCAGATTTTGATTTGGCGTTCTGACAGATTGATAAGCTGTGACAACTCCCATCGTCGTGATTTCGATATGTAGGTGGATCCCGAGTACTCTCTCTCCAACTCCGCTATCTGGAATTTGGAGTAAGGACGACGTCGCTTCCGAAGCGTCACGGTCGTTGGTGCAATGGACGTGGAGGGAAGATGAATCGACTGCTGCATCTCTGAAACAAAAATTAAAGAATCAGTACAATTATTCCATCCTAGATTCAGAGAGTCACGTTTTTGTATGACAGCGTTTGCACTCATTACTTTGAGACCATACGTGTTGGTACTTAAACTACGATTGCAATAATCACAATCAATACTAATGAAATATTTACTAGCTTCCAAGTAAATAAATATTATGATGTAGATTTTAAAACATGAGATAAAGAACATTAAATAATATTGGTCAATATAGCACCAGTATATTGTTCATAGAAACGATTCAAAATGCAAGCCATTTCTCATAAAGAGTAGTGTGATAGCCTTGAGGTTAAAGCGTTCGCTCGTCACGCCGACGGTTCGAGTCCGATGCCCCACATGGGTACCATGTGTGAAGCCAATTTCTGGAGCCCCCCGAGATATTATTGAAATAGTGCTAAAAGCGGCGAAAACCATACTCACTCACTCTTTTCTCATGAGAAAATAAATATGAATTATTCAAACAATATAATACTCAGGAGATTAATGTAACATAGGTCGGGGATGAAGTATAATTAGATGTGAAACACATTAAACAGGACGTCAGGTGTCAGTTATAATGCTAAGAGCCGATTAGTTGTAAAGTGCTGTGCCCTCAGATACACAGACAGTACAATACCTCCCGGTGGTGTTCAGAATAACTGGGACAATTTGTGAGACATATATGAAACACGTACGGCTGTTATGAAAAGTGTGTCCTGTACAAGTTTGCCTCTTAAGGTTACAACATAGATTCCACATAAACCAGTGAGCGATAGCTGGAGCAACGATTACCTTTGGTCGGCCAGTACAAGGATCATTACTGGGCCTTATTCTTACATGGAAGCCCCACAGGGCTATTTACGTATTTAGCATTGAAAAGATGCTTTTGATAATGAGCCACTTAACTAAAATAAGAATCAGATATTCTCAGTTAAACTTAAGTATGTGACGGAATTGTTTTGATATGAAACACGGGTAGTTTAACAATCAATAGTACATGTATATTTTACGTATTTAGCATTGAAAATGGGTTTAAAATGTGCCACAAAACTAAAATAAGAATCAAATAATCTTCGTTATAATTAAATTTGTAACAGAATTGTTTTGATGTGAAACACAGGATTTATTTTCGTAAATTTAAAAAAATCCGAGTTCGTCTGTGACAGATCTTCACACAGATTAATCAAATTCAAGTATCCATTATAGGAACTCCCGATCTCATTCCCCTTAGAATATGACCATGATTCACCATAACCCGCCTGCGCGAATAAATCTAGCTGCCTAAAAATATAGGTAAAACAACGTTCTATCACCCTCCAGCATATCAACTTAGGTGACACAAGACCTTTGACCAAGTGAGTCAGTTCACATTGTCAGGATAACTTACAAAACTGAAATAATAGCCCGTGATGAAGCTTGGCAAAGTACAATTGATTTAACAATGATACCCGAAGTAATAAAAGTCATATAAGAGACGGAGGGATACCTGAATATATGCCGTTTCATCACTTCACGCCGCCATTGCGGCGTAATAAACTCCCCGTGACAATGGGAGCCGGCTTACGCACCAGCCCTGCGAGCGCCAGTGTGCCCCCCATGGGGTGCCTATAAAATGAACTTCAAAGCGACACGAGACGTCGTTACAATGTAACTATATGCATTCCGTAATTCGGATAATTTCTGCTTAAACGTTTTGATCTCACCCTTGGGTTTACTGTTAATATTTGACAGTTGGATGACGAGGCTATATTTTGGAATGGTCTCAACGTTCGGAATGTAAATTGTGTTGTTGATACAGGAGTTTGTTTAAAAATGTTTCGCATTAGTTTGTTGATTGAGAAGAGGGAAATATCTCCAAAAGATTAACTACACCGCCAATGTATTGTCAATATAAAAAATGTCATTATAACCAAGGAATCCGAACGTTTGTGTTAAAAACAAACTCATTGACATTGGCATTATGACTAGGGTGGAATTAGGACAAGGGAATTTTGCACTGCGGAAATCCGTTCTGAGGAAAACATGACATGATAAGTAGTGATGACGGTACAAGTCAAACATTAAACATGGGTACAAACATTTAGCCTCAGTCAAACGAGACACCATGATATATAGATCTGTACTTAGACCATATAACACTTTAGCTGAAAATGTATTTTGTATGTCAGCTAATGAAAACCTCAGTCATTTAATTCTTAATATGATTAAAAACAACTTTGAAATATATAGAATTGGCTTGAGAAAAAAAATCATATTTTTAAATGGCAGTCATGTAAGAAGCACCACGTGACAAATTGTCTGGCGTTATGAATGAGAAGCGTCGATTGTCAATCCAAATGTTGTCGTAAATATTATTTTTAATCCATATATGGAAATACCCTTTGAGGCAACGTTGAGTAATGAGGGTTACTGAAGAGCAAGGTCGCGCCCTTCCACCCCGCCCAGGCGTAAAACGCACGCAATAAACACAGAACATGTTGATTGCAGCTCGAGAGGTAGAGAGTATTTACTCTCCAACCCAAAGCAAACTCATGCCATTTTTTTAATAACCTAGCATCCATAAACCGACCAACATCAAAGACGATTTTGCGACTTGTCACTGTCATAAATGCTGTGAAAAGCAACGTCGGACCTTGCAAATATAACAATAAAACCGTTAAATTGTTAAAATTCGGAACGAACACCCGTCGCCAACCATTCTCCCTCTTCTGTCTTGCGTAGAGACACATTGCAACCGTGGGCGGTCAGTAATCATTTCCAAAGTAAATAAATTATATGAAAACTATAAAGACGGACCCGAGTCGACATGAAAGACGGGATATAAACGTCCCTGTCGTGTCCTCTAAAAGAATAAAAAATGTAACCCTCCTCTTCTCCTCCATCGAGTTTATTATTCATTGTGTTCCGCGAACACCCTCCAAGTCCAGATCGTCAAACAACGATTAAATGAAGAAGATATCGTTTTCCAGATTATGATAACTGATAATTTGATGAAGACCAGTAATGTATATTTCTTCATTGTTAATACCACTCCACGTCCTTGGAGAATTGTTTAAACCACGCAGGGCTTTTTTTGGTAAAGCCGCAAAGCTAATGGTTTTGTCTCTGCAGCGTTCAACACATTGTTGCTAAACTGGTTCGTATATATTTAATTCATGCTTTAATAGCGTAGGAAAAGAGACAAAACCATTTATCCTTTGTATTACCTATAAATCAATAGTGTTTCCTATGACAAAATAGATTTAAGCTCATTGTCATTCGCTTATATTAACGCCGTTTTCCCGTCGAAGTTCCATCCATTCTGGTTTAACATTGTAAGTCTTTAACGGACAATGACGCATAAATTGAGTTACTTATTATTTGATGCCAGAGGTTTTTTTTACTGAAGTTCACATAGTTATTTGAACGCGTGATTTCATATGATTTTCAAAACTATTTTGCCTTTTATGCTCAATGTAATTTGTTTTGGCAGAAAATCAAGACTGAACATTCTTTGGCGTTGGTTTGTTGACGTTACAATAACGTAAACGTGTCGCAAATTATGACGCCATTTCTCGGACTGATTTTTTATGAGCATAATGCAATAAATTATAACATTCGCATCATCAACAAAAATAATAATTTGATTTTGATTTAAAAAATAGACACCCAGATGAAAAAATAAGAATTATCTTACTATAACATCCCCGCTCTTTCTTCTGTTTTATCGTTCCCTCACCTAAGCCATATTAAGTGCCCTCTAAGATATACCTCAACATAAACTCATCAACGCAGAAGCAGCGGAGGTTTCCTTCCTTGCTCCTAGGGTGGTCGGACATTAAAACTTTATCTCTCAACAGCTCACCTCAGAGTCTCAGCGTAAATATATCCCACCCGAGACGAGCACTAAAGACAGTAATTCTAGACGAAAATTTTCAATATAATCGCATCTTTGGCTTGATAAGCTCGCCATGATCCTTGGACGCTAGTGGTAGCATCTATCCCACGTTAAACTTGTCTTCAACACCTTTCGATATTACGGGTACTTAAAAGTTTACCCCTAGCATTGGGTTACAAACGTTTGTTGGTTTAAGAGAAAAGGTTAGATGTGGACACATATTTTGCAGATTCAAGCATATCGTTGATTTCAATTGTCAAAACATTATGCCTTATGTGTTTTTGCAGATTAAAATGGAGCTTCATCTATCAGCCATCGAGATGAAGGTTCCCGGGTAAGTATAATGTTACAAAAAATGTAGTTGTACACTGTGGTGTTACCAAAAACATATGTTGATGGAGAAGGAGGTGAATATATTTATGGAGAAACGATATTTTTTAACCAGCTATGTGATATGTTTTTAAATAAAACTAGTAACATAACTGTATTTGTCTCTCAAAAACACCTTGCAATAATGTAATTTTTGTGGCAGACTACCGTAATTTCTTTTTTTTCCAAAGCATTTTCTGGGACAGTTTTTTTGTTTTGATAAAACACTAGCACCCCACCTCTTTCCCCCGCCTTTCCCCGCTTTACAAATGGTCGTTCCCTCAATAATATACTGCTTATTATTTGTATCATTAGCCCAATCGTATATTATAACCCCTATCGTACATTATAAGGACGTCATTGTCAGTATATTGTGTGATAAACCATTGTACCCGTATTACCACCTGAATGTATTGTTCTTGTTTTCCTAATCATTCCATTTTGAGCAAATACTAGGATAATGACAAATTAGTCACTCAAAAGATGTTTATTATATGAAATACTAATATCAATGATCAATAATAGCTTTTACAATTGTTTCATTGCACTCAATTGTAACACCTCGTCCTGTTCGCATGCGAACGAAGGAGTGGGGGCATTAACTATTGACCGACACTGAACCTTGCCAGATAGGTGTTTTTTTGTAACATAGCGTCGTGTCTTTGGGATACCCAATGTACTGGTTACTATCGTCTCCAGTAAGTACGAGCTCCGTTGCCAGGAGCACTATATTCACCGTGTTTATGATCT